AATTAGGGTGGCTTAGAATTGGCACGTGATATTACGGATGCACCAATATCCACTGCTTATCATAGAGCAAAATTTAAACCACAGGGTTAACCAAAATGGTGCTCATTCTAAAGACGCATGCATTAGTTGCCAGTATGGTTGATTTCTCTGATTTTATTTTACTGAGTAATCATAATGATATTAAAATTATACTTAGAAAATTGATCACATATCGGAGTTTTTTTGATATTGAAATGATATCATTTAAAATAATGAGATTTCTGTAAAGAATAACTTTTCACATAATGATTGAAGTCTTTTTGCAAAAGCTGAGAAGTACTGTTTTTAAAAAATAAATCGACCAAGAAACACAAATGAAGTCACGATTTATATTAAGACAAGAGAACAAGAAGTTAATGAGTTATTATCCGAAAATCATCTGGTTATTATCAAAAGTAAGTAAGTATCCCTCTCTCTATTTGTATTAAATCAATTATTCTTGCTGAACTTGTTCTTAATTACCAATAAAGATAGTGTAAATGAGTGCTTTGGAGAAACAGCACGAGATTCCATTGACGACGTCTCGAAAAATAGCATAAAAGAGTCTTGGTCACGTATAATCTAGGACTTAAATTGATATAAATCATTCACACAACTTTTCATTGATACACAAAGAAGGAGTAATAATGGTGATCATGGGTAAAAATTCGCCTCGCAGAGAAGGCCAAAAGGAATCATGACAGGTTTCCAAAAGTATCACAATGATATTGACATAAACCAATTGGAATCCAGGGAGAAAGAATGATGAACAATGAATAGAGATACGTGAACGTATAACAATTGGTACCGAAAAATTTAATATCAATCAATGGCAACAATTGCGCTCTTCTCTTCAAAAATGTGTCAGAAATTTGTATAATTAATCACAAGAATTTAAATTTATTGGAGTTGTCAATAAAAGCTGGCTACAATTGATTATATTTTTTAATCATCATGTTCATTTCTTCAACTAACGGATCATTTCCGTTCGCTTCACAAAAAACTTTCCACGCAAGTGTATCGTAATCCACACGAGGATCATATTCTGATTCTTCAGGTAAATAATCATTATCATCATCCAGCACCTCAGCTGAATCATTAGGGTTAGAATTTCCATCAGTTTTCTTTTTTGATGAAGAACGAAAATATGTTAATACGAGCAATGAAAATTTCGAAACAATTCATAATAAATAATATTTGTTATACGGAGGAAAATACTGATTCCAATATCTCACCAGAATCCTTCAGCTCATTTTCACATGTTTCGTTTTCATCAGTCCCCTGGCCTCGTGAGATATAACCATGAATAATAGTATAATCATCCTTAGCGTAATTTCGAGAAACGTATACTGCACAAATATCATAATAATTAATGATAATTTTTTAGGTTTCAAGAGGTCCCTAATGATACGTTTAATGTTTGGAATACCCACAAATGCCGAGATAATAATGAATGGTAATTTATTGGAATTTAAGACATCCCTATAAATACTTTTAATATTTGGAATATCTGGTTGATTTTTTTCATTTGTGTAATCGCTAGGAAGTTTGAACCCCGGTGTTTGTCACTGCATTATTTCAGCTAATTATCCGGACAGATTCTATTTAACATTTGCAAATTACATAAAACTATTTTGTTATTTTATATGATTAGTAGTGTCGTCACATTAATAAAATCTAAACTGGATTTTTTGGTTAGAAGATCAAATAAAAGACAATTGTTCGGGTATGTCGTTTGTTCGTAATATAAATATTTGGCAGTCAAATCATTAGAAATATTAGAAATTACGTAATAATTATATATCCGAATTACGCAATGGATAAAGACGATGATGATTCATTCGCAATTAATTGGACTTTTAAAAAAAATTTTACCTTTCTTCACATTGCAAAACAATGCCTTTCAGGCGTGCCCATTCACTTCACTACAATAGATTTCCAATATTATTGAAAAACGTAAACAATCTACTTAACCTAGCATAAAATATCAGATATTATAGTATTGCGTTACTCTTAACTTGTAATAAAGATGTAAAGTAAATTCTTCTGAAATAAGAAGACCATTAACGACAAAAAGGGCACCTGAATAGTGCACTTCGAGCGGTTACCAAGTAGTCATACATAATAGTTCTTCGATAAAAGTTGCCCTTCTTTGTAAAATAAAATATGTCCTTTTGTCCACCATAGTAAAAGGGCTTTAGTCGAACACTTCACTTCCTCTAAAAACGGGCAGTCTAACTATTATCTAGATTCTACCAAGAAGTTTCCAAGGAAAGCAACGAAGAAGTACCAATTACTTCATGGCAACGGTTCCGATGTAACAAAATTAAACAATTAAGACACGATGCATTTGGTCTTATGGTATCATGAATATTGTTTTAAACGATTATCTCGTATTGTAACATTCTTATTTATTTTTAACAGCGTACACATATATCGAAATTAATGAATATAAACTACCACAATATTGTTAACAGTACTATCTAACTAAATTCTGCTATCGGTACACGTATTTTTTTAGGTGACGAATTTGACTTTCGACACTATGGGTGGCGGAATGATGGTTTAGTTGGTAATGATAGTACTTTCCTAATAGTACTTTCCTAAATAATAAAAAAATGAGATTAAACTGCGGAATGACATGTTTGAAGATTATGATGTAGGTTCCTACCAATAATGAATATAGGGTAGATACTACAGTGATGATGTTTAAAAAAATTCGCATTTTCCGTTGGGAGCGGTATAGGCCATCATAAGTCAAATCTGTGCTAAATATTTAATTTCGCTCCCTATTGGTTTTACATGATTAGCAGGGTAAACGCACATCAGTTAAGTTATAACAGTGATACCTACCACAAATTAATATACCGTATGTTTCCAGACCAGCTACATAACCGTAAATACTAATAAAATAGTCTATTGACCCTTTCATGAATTCTGCTAACTTTATTATACGTTGATTTATGGTTATATTGCAATAAGGTGGCTTTATCTCGCCAAATATGAGTTCCCTGTCGGTGTCATCAATATTTGCGAGGATCCAAAAGTGGGTTTTCTACCATGGTTGTGACCATTTAATAAGCATCTTTCCTTAGAACTTTCAGATTTGCCATTTGCCCTTTATTCAATAATGAGATGAACTTACCCTATTGTATTCAATTATTGTTAAGTCCGTAAGACGAACTTGGTTCCATATCTTTTCGGAACATTTGACGTATTCTGGTTTAAGTCAATTGCAATACATAATCGACGATAAATACCTGTATTAATGTACAAATATATTAAAGTCAAATTTTGCGATTTTTGCATAAAAAATATTTAAAGTATCATATCGATCTCTTTCGCATATGATAAAGTTTGGAATGATTTTCAATTTGTTGATTCTAACAAAAATCGATGGAGATCCTGTGTTGTCCACTATACAAAAGAGAACAGGATTAGATTATACCAGGATAAAGAAATCAAGAAATCTCAAACCGATATTTTTTAATACTTACGTCATTTTCAGAGGCATTATTTATAACAACACTATCAATCGCATGACTCCACCTTGAATAATAAGAACAAGATCAACTATGCTTATTTTTGAAAGAATCATCAAGACATCAACCTTATATTTTCCCCTGTCTGTCCTATAAAAGGATTATTATCATCCTCACGTGTTATCCTTACATCAGAACAATTGTTGTCGCTTGGCTTTGAGAGGAATGATGCAGATTAGAAATGCCTGGCTTTGCAATGTAATATAGAACGCATATCAAGATTCCTGGAGTGAAATCACTGAAAAAAGAGATAGATCAGTTTCCTAGATAGATCAGTTTCCTTCTCATCAGCTGAGCTAGATGATTCGTCTTTAATATACTCTTCTTTGTCGTTCTGGAGTTCGTCTTCGATAGTAGTAGTAGTTTTGACCTACATACCAAATTCATTTTCGTTTGTATAAGCCTCAAATTATCGGTTAAAGAATAAAGAAGATTTACAGCCTTATGTTTTTTGTTTCTTCATTGCCTGATTGTTTACAATTTTCATAGGATCGTTTATTCCCTCGAATCACATTGGAAGATCCACCGATTTGTATTCCATCACAAGTCAAATCACAAGACAAAAATACGTTTTCTGCGTTTATCTTTTTATTCACCGCCACATTATGATGTTTCAATCTAAGTAACGACTTCAACCAAAAGTTATCGATACGCCCCATCTTTTTAGATTCAACCTTGGATAGATAGATTATACATTAACATGTGTCAAGATATTGGAAAACAAAAAATTCCTGATCGTGGCTTGTCACAAGCTGGCTACAGCAGAGACTAGTCCATAACCATACGAAGATGCAGTTCTATGGTTAGCTGTAGTATTTTGTGTTTGAGAAACAATGAAATATTCAATAAACTAACTTTAGGATTAAATATTAAAGTCATAGTATTAAGTGGCGTGGCGAAAAACTTAAATTAGAAATTTGAAATTAAATTTACAATTATAGTAAAAATTTACAATTATGGTAATAAAAAACATTGTATAGTACAATTTGCGTTTCTCCGAAGTATGATGCTATAAATACAATCATTTTATTCAAAATGTGAAATTTGAAATATCAAAAAAAAAAAACAAAATCTAAAGTAGAAATAGATGAGCACAAAAATTTGGCACATTTTTATTGGATACAAAAATCGATCCCAGTCCGGATCGGTCCTCAAATTTCAGACCAAAGACCAGGAAGACCGGTCCCAAGTCCGATCCAACCTATAAATTAACCTTGATTTTCAAGACGTGTCGCACTTTTCCTTTCCTCTTCCGTGCCATTTTTTTTTGAAAAAACATACGTACGTATATAAAAAATAAAAATATTAGGTTAAACCCGCAAAAATCATCTAATTTAATAATTTTCAAATTTATTTTCATTCACCCAGATGAGTTTAATTATTAGAATAGTTCAATCGATTTTTTAGCGTCGTAACTAAAAAAAAAAATCAAAGCATCGAAATTTCAGACTACTTTCGCCACCCGTAAATGTCACATTGACGTTGAATGAATAAATAATCTTATGAATGTTGTTTATTAATATAATAAAATTGATATAAACATATACAAATGTTATAAATACAATAAAATGTTAAATTTACAATAATTGTTATAATAAATACTAATTTACATTATCATAAAAAATTGAATTATATATAAATCATTCTCTCCGAAAATTCTTTAAGTTTATCTTGTGCATCTTGATCTCCTTGTTCAGCAGATTTTTTGTACCAAGAAATTGCTTGATTCATATCTTTTTGAATCCCCATTCCATTTTCATACATCAAAGCAAGATTATATTGAGCATAACTACTTCCTAAATTTGCTGCTTTTTGATATGATTCAAATGCCATTTGCATATTAACATCAGTTCCAATTCCATTTTCATAAAAATAACCTAATTTATTTATTCCCATTGCGTCTCCTCTCTCTGCTAACATTTTAGAGAATTCAAATGCTTTGTTAAGATCTTTGTCAACGCCCTCTCCATTTTCATATAAAACAAGAAGATTATATTGAGCTATAACGTTCCCTAAATTTGCTGCTTTTTGGAATAACTCAAACGCCTTTTGTTTATTAACATCAGTTCCAATTCCCAAACTATAACAATACCCTAACATACTTATTCCACTTGGATATCTTTTTCCCGCTAATTTCTCGAATAACTTAAAAGCTTTAGTATAATTTTTATGAGTATCTTCTCTATACATATTGGCAAGATCAAATTGAGCTACGATATTTTCTGACTTTGCTGCTTCTTGATATAAATCAAACGCCTTTTGTTTATCGCAATCAATTCCAATTCCGTTATAATATAAATACCCAAGCAAATAATTTGAATTCGAAGTATCTTGATTATATAAAAGCCAATTATAGATCTCATTAGAACTTATGTTGAGATTTTTAATAAAATCAAGAACATGTTTCTTTCTTATTTTTCCTTCTTTTTCTTCGTTTAACTCCTTAGAAATAAAATCAACCAAATTATCAACGCTTTTATTATAATAAGAATTGAGTTTTTGTCTGGTTTCTTTTATCGATTCTAATTTAACGACTACTTGATTCATAAATGGCCTTTTATCTGGATTATCATTCCAACATTCTATATAAAATATAAATAAATTTATTATATTAATGAACATCAATTACGTTAAAATTAGATATTAAAATCACAAATTGTACTTACCGATATAAAGATTCGAATAATCAAGAGGAGTATCTGGAACGATATTTTCTCTATAACCATTTACAATTCTCATAATTAAGCTAGCATCATATAATTCATTTTTAAATGGTGGTTGACCGCTCGATATCTCCCATAGAAGCACTCCAACACTGTAAACATCACATTTTTCATTTGGTTTCATGTGATTATCATTACTGATGAACTTTTTTGGATCGATATAAGGCGCGATACCAAATAAGTCTGCTCGTTGTTTTTTGGTTGCCTCCTTGATTCTTTTTGATAAACCAAAGTCGGCTAATTTAACAGTACCTTGATGAACTAAAACATTTCCGGAATGCTATTATAGAATATAAAAACAATATATAATTAAGTCTTAAATTATCAAAATCAAATAATTTAATGAATTTATAAATTACCAAGTTACAATGTACAATTCCTTTCTCATGTAAGCAAGATACAGCATTGGCTAACTGGTAAGCTAGCTTGTATTTATGTTCTAGAGTAAGATTTTTAAAGTTTTCTTTTAAATAATTTCGAAGAGGACTATCAGCATACTCCATTACTAATAAATATTTCTTTAAATGATCGGGTTGACATTCTAATTAAGAGAAATAATTATAATTAACTTAAATTATTAAAAAATCAATGAAATATATATTTAAATATATTCTATACCTTTTTCTGTAATCCCACATAAACGAATAACATTGTTATTTAAGTCCTTTTCACGTTGTAGTTCAAGCTAATATAACGTTATATAAATGTAAATATCGTAGTCCGAGATATAAAATTAATATTATTATTAAAAGTTTTTAATTACCTCATGAATAATTTCTTTTACAGTATCGTTATCAAGGTTAAAAAAAGATTTTAACGCAAAGTATTGATCCGAGTTTTTTTTTTCTGCACGATAAATTTTTCCGAAGGCCCCATTTCCAATTTTTTGAATATTATGAAAATGTTTGTAATCGTAACATTCTAAATTTTTTTTAGAAATAGCATCTTCAATTAAACCAATCCATTCATTTGAATTTTTGACAGCTTGAATTTCAATTTTATTAGACATGGGAAAAAAAATAAGAAGTGAAAAAGTAAAAAAAGTAAAAGAGTTCAAAGGGGTAACGATTAAAGAATTTAAATAAGTTTCATTTTCCCAATTAGTAATATTGTTGACGTTTTTGGCTTAGACGATTAATTAAAGTTTGAAATTACGTATATCACGTGTTATAATGATGGTACCTGACCTGGAGACTGGATCCCGGTACTGTATTGTCACGTGAGAGCATCTCCAAATGGCAAGATTTTCAAAATCGTCAAACTCCAAAAGGTAATCCATGTTCATTATCTAATTCCGGAATTTTTTACGGACGTGACGCAGTAAATTTCCAGTAAATTTTATAAACATCAGAAAAAATTGTCTTTTTTGATTATTCCAAATAGTATATGCACGATTATAATCAAACTTTTAAATTTTCTGGCCCTTTTAAAATACATGCATTAACGTTAACGTATCTAATATATCCGGTCACATGTTCCGATGCAAGAAATGAATTTCCGTAATTTTTAAAACTTTTTCGGAGTACCAACGTGGAATTATTTTTCTACTAGGGTGCAGACTTTTTCTTTTTTTTAGCTACGTCACTCATTAACTTTTAGAAAATTAATTATTATGGCCATTTAACGGTTTTAACCATATTTTTATATTTTATTTGTAACGTTTAAATTATACAAATGGTTACGAAAATGTTATTTCATTGTATTTACAAAATCGATCATGCGACTCTGAAGATCGAAGCTTACGTGAATAACGGGATTATTGTATCTATTAACGGTTTATTACTTATTTCTTAATTCTTTTATTAATTTTATTTCATTAGTTTTACTTCTTTTTCTTACTTCAAGTGCATATATATTTTTTTCTGGTACTCCAGTTGGCCAATTTTTCATACTCAATTTTATATATTAATTTTTCGTTCTTTGAATCTTCATTTTCTTTGCATTCAATATTGATTCTTCGTTTTTTCATTAGTAGATTTATTTATATGGGATGTAATTATTTTGTTTATATACATATATATATATATTTCATTTTTTGATTTTGATTTTTGTTGTTTGTTTATTAATTTGTATAATTGATAGTTTAATATTAAGTAAACCCAATAGCATGACTTTGTTGTTCACTGATAGTCAAAGTGATCTAGAAATTCATAAATTGCAAATACTTATATTTATTTCACGCTATGTACGTATTTTATAAAAAACATGTCACAACGATGAGATGCAGCAATGTTGATCAGGACCTCGAGGAAGGGGAAAAAGGGAAGGAGAAAAGACGAGAGAGGGAAAGGGAAGAGGAAGGATGAGAGAAAAGGAAAGGGAAGGAAAGAGCAAGGAAATATACGTAAATATTCACACACCCGCACACCCACTGATGACTGACCCACACACACCCACACCCACACCTACACAACAACGTGTAGAACGCTTATTATTGTATAATTATCGATTCGGATACTCCTATTCTAATATTATTTCCCTGAAAGTAAATTAAACTTACTTTGTGCATAATTGTATCCTTGTTCAGCAGACTTTTTATACCAATAAATTGCTTGATCTATATCTTTTATAATTCCATTTCCATTTTCATACATTGAAGCTAAATTATATTGAGCTATATAATTATTCAAATTTGCACCTTTTTGATATAACTCAAAACCCTTTTGTTTATTAACATCAGTTCCAATTCCATTATAATGACAATAACCAGTATTATTTATTCCAGTTGAATTTCCTAATTCTGCTGCTTTTTGATAAAATTCAAATGCTTTTTGCCAATCAGCATAAGTTCCAATTCCTTTTTCATAACAATATCCTAACTTGTTTATAGCATTCGGAATTCCTTTTTCTGCTAATTTATTTGATAATTCAAAAGCTTTATTATGATTTGTTTTAATACCATTTCCATGAATATATATTTCAGTTAGATCTAATTGTGCCACACAATTATTATTATTCATTTCCATCGCTTTTTGATATAATTCAAATGCTTTTTGCATATTAATATTTGTTTCAATTCCATTATAATTAAAATATCCAAGTAAATAAATAGAATTTGATGATTCATTTTGATTATTTAAAAGATAATTATAAATTTCTTGTGAGATTATTCCTTGATTAATAATAAAGTTAATAACATGTTTCTTTATTACTTCTTTATATACTCCCTCATTTAATTTTTTAAAAATCATATCAATTAATTCATCTATTATCATATTTAAATTTCCATCAAAAATATTTTTATTGATATTTTTAATTGTAGGTTCTATTTCTTTTGTACTATCTATTTTATTGAAATTTTGAATAATTTGAGAATATTCATTTGATAAATTATTGATATTCAAAAGGTTATTATTAATTTGATTATCAAACATTTGTAAAAGATAAAGTGTAAGAAAGAAACTAAAATAACGTTAAAATATATAAATTTTTTTTTTTTTTTTGTTTTACTTTGGTGGTACTGTAGGTGCAGTTGCACAAAATCTTTTAAATCATTCTTAGTTGTATCTGCGGCTTTATTGATAGTCCCGTGTAACATCATCGGCCAATCTCGGAAAAAGGCTAATTTTTGAATGAAATTTTTAATGATTCCATTTTTAGCAGGTTATGCCATATTACGGTGTCCCGGTCCGATGATCTTTCCGAGTCCAGTCGAATATTTTTATTATACGCTAGTAACGCTACACAGAAAAATAATAATAAAACTCATGCAAATAATGTTATTTGTTTGTATCGTGTTAAGATATACAAAAAAAAATTAAATAATTACTCATACTCGTACGAAGGAAATCACATGATGTGACATAATCTAGTTTGTTATCAGTATGTAAATATTTACTTTTATTGCTTTTTCTTTAGATCTACTCCCTGTTTATGTGTTTGTGGATTTGTGAATCTATCTCTTATCATAGAATCAAATTAATAAACAGTACTAATATAATTCTTTTATTTATAGAATCTCCTATGTTGTCCTTAGAATTTCTTTATCATTGTAGTAAGTCGCATATTTCGATTAATAATTAATATTGTATTCCTAAAATTTTCTATTGAAAAATGAATTGTTTATTTGTATTATAAATTTTCATATTTGGATTAGATATTTAAGGTTTGAATCTTGTAACTCATTCAATTAATGATTTCTTAATAAAATTATCCAAAAGTCAATACGAGATCCATTAATCATGAGATTCTTTCATTTGTAGATATTTTATTTTATGTACAAGAAAATACAAGAAAATATATTATGAAGAAAATAGAATAAAATAATAGCTATTCAAAAGTTCAACGGTTAAATGCTACCTATGGGATGTATCTTGGAATAATTGTTGAATACCTTGAATGCTTGAGACGACTTAGATGTCAGCGTTTCACCCAGGAAATTTGTATTTGTAATTGCCTGTCTGGGCAAACACATTTTCTTTCAGGAGTGTAACGATTATAGAACTATTACTGCATGAGGTCTCATGTTGTCAACGAATGGCATTATCATTTCGAATTTGTCATACAGACCACTACTGAAAACCTTACACTAGGATATATGTTACTCATAGAGAAAGCAGCAATTTCATTTGCTTGATCTATTTCTTATTATGTCCTGTCATGGATGTTTTAACTGGTCGCTAAAGATGGACACTAGTATCTGTTACTGGTATACAACGGACTTTTTGAAGAAAAGGCAGTGTCAATGGGGGACGTTGTAAGAATCGGTTAATTTCAGGATATGTCTAGTAAGAATAGTCGTTATCTGTCAACTTATAAAACGGCCACTAAATTTATAATTCAAATGAAGGATGAAGTAGAAAGTCAGTACAAACAATATCAGGTAATAAAAAATTTTTTTATCTTATAATAATTAAATTTAATCATTTATTAATTATTACTATCATAGAAAATAAATCATATCTGTTATACAAGTAGAAGTGATGTAATATTTGCCTATTACTATTAAATGATAGTGTGTCGCCAACGATCTAACGTCATGCCAATTGGGAGAATATTTACTGAAGAGATTTTTCTTATTCAAACATTAGGGGGTTTTGTGCCATGTAAAATAGTACGTTTATATTTTTTTGTCACATAATTCATATTCATTAGAAAAAAGAACAGGATATAAAATTACTACTTCACTTTTAACCGCAATCAAATATAGAGTTACATAATATCATTGAACTGTGTATTACACATATTAAACGTGTTAGTTTTTATTTTTTTTTCTTTTAAATTCATGGATTTTTTAAACAAAAAAAAAATGATAAACGAAAATTTATTTCGAATTCATTTTATAAAAACAATAAATAAATTAACCATATAATATTCAACCAATTTTTATTTTAAAATGATTTTTGAGAGATTCTTTTTGTTTTATAACAACTAAAACAAATATTTTTTTTTTGTTTCGTAACAATTAAAACAAATATTTTTTTTTGATTCGTGACAATTAACAATAACTGTAATTTGGCGTAGTTGCAATTAAAACAAACAAAAAACGGATTAAGGGGTCCATTATGTGATAATCACATGATTTACGCAGAATTACCGTTTATCACCACCCCCTAAAAAAATATGTAAAGGGGTTTCGCAAATAAAGCGATGAAAAAAAAAATTTTTTTTTTTTTATAACATAAGGAAGCAAGGAGCTTTGTAAATAACATTACAATTGGTAATTTTTTTATTTAAATCAATGATTTTTTTTTGTTTTAGAACTTACAAGAAAATATGTTAACCGTGTTAAAGCCTGTGTAGCTTTTCACAGGAGTTTACATACAGGTGAATCTATCGACCAAAGTCATAATCGCATAGATCAACAAGTTTGGATACGAAAGGTATTGACAAGTAATTTAGCAGATCATTTAAATTTTGATTAAATAGCAAAACTTAATTTAAAAATTATTATTTTTTTTGTACATTAAGAGCGTATTTCGCGACTTGAAAGGGGAATGACATCCATACAAGAACAAATGAGCAGTGGGTTCGGCCAGATAATAAGAATGTTAGAACGTTTCCTAAATTCGCAAGAGCATTCCACGACAAAATAAGTGGTCGAATGGTCACCTAACACTACTCAAGCTCAAAGGCTTGCTGTCAAGAATTGTATGTTTGTACTACTCTTTTTTTTTATATATATACAGTATATTGACTATATTGTCTAACTTTGTTTTTTTTGGATCAGTATTGCAAATAAACTATACCATAACTTGCCATCCAAACAATAATCTGACGGTTCTGACCACCTCCATCTTTCATGTTACTAATCGTGATATCAGCGATAGTGCACAAACTATTGAAGACGCTGTACTATAGACAACCTGGTGCCGGTATATTGGGAAGAATTTTTTCAATCAGGGCAGGGAGAAAGGATCACTTTTTGATACTTGAACATCGTGATGTTTTTCTTTAATTTTTTAATTTTTTTTCTTGTCAAAAAGTTTCAATTATTTCCATTTTAGCATTGATTTATCTTCGTTGTAAATCATCTTGTGCTAGACTTCTTATTATTTTATCAATTTGAGTTTATTTTATATTTTTCAACACTCTAAGTCTCTAATAAAAATATAACGCTTTTGATTTTATGTTGATTATTGACTAAATAGAAACATGTCATATTTTTCTTATTCGATTTTATCGAATATTCCGTTATTCTAGTTATTTCTGTCACGATAGTATTAATAACTCGCGTTACATATATTTCATTGAAAACTTAAATTCCTTTTGTTTGAGATAACACTTCCACTAGCATGTGAATTTCTGAGTATTTTTTTCTAGTAATCACGACTCTCACAAATTTTTGGCTTGTCTATAAGTGAAAATTTTTGCCAGAAACTTTTGGAATACCCAAACTTCCAGGACGCAATGGACTTTCCAGAATATATTTAAATTTCAATTTTTCCCAGGAATTTTTCAGTGAACCACATTTTAGTGATCACTATAAGGTTTTGCTTGTTCAATTGCCTCTGCCCATTAAAAGTGAAGTGTGGGGCGCCTAACTACTGATAGATATCGTAACACTTATTGTAACACTTATTGGTATCAAAAAGTCAAAATGAAAATATTGTGTTTTACCAACTAGTGATTATGCACTTATAACTTCAATCCATTTCGATAATTTATTAAATAAATTATAATTTTTTACAATTAAATAATTTATTTTATAAATTATTAGACAATTTATTATATTAACAACTTTTTTAATCGCTTTTTTAATAAAATAAATAAAATTAATCAGCGTAATAATGAAATTTTTTGAGTTGTATTATATAAAATTATGTTTATTGAAAAATTATTGTCATACACGGCTTAATAAAAAAAACTCAGTTCATAATTTTGGAAATTTAAGAATTAAGGTTATTACTGAAATTTCTTAATAAAAAATCATTTTTTTTTTTAAAGAAAAACGAAAATAATATTTAATTTTATATAAAAAATTTTATTAAAAATTTAATAAAAATATTCATCAATACCTTGTATACTGCATTTATTCAACGATTCATACTCTCGACAAGTTTTTGATACATCTCACATTGAATTTGTGACCAGCACTCCTGAATAAATGACTCTATTTCTCCCAAATTCTTTGGACTATTTGTTCTCGCTCGAATACGACGTTCAAGCTCATCCCACATGTGTTCAATCGGATTAAGGTCGGGACTTTGTCTCGGCCATGGGAGTTGAGCCGTGTCATTAAACTTGTATGTATTGGCGCGTTGTCTTGCTGAAAAAAATACTCCCCATTTCTTCTTCAAATTGCTCCAAAAATGGTACTACATGATAGCCAAGGATCTTTTGTATGTATCTTTCACTATTAACACGACCATCAATTCTTACCGGAGGGCCAAATCATACCAACTAAAACACCTATACCACCTCTACCATGTTTTATGGTCGGAACAAGGCAATTTACAGCAAGACTTTCTTTTGGAAGGCTGCCATACATGAATTTTTTTATCGCTTTGAAACAAAGTGAACCTAGACTCGTCACTCCACACAAATTTCTTCCAGTCATTTATTGTCCAAAAACGACTTTCACGAGCCCAAAATAAACGAATTTTTCGCTTATGAGAGGTTTTCTGTACGTCTATGGTACCCATTTCATACCGTGTACGCCTTACAGTGCCTTTACTCACTTCTTTTCCGATTGATTCAATAAAATCTTTTTGCATTTTTTCTGCTGATATACGACGATTTTGGTAAGGACAACTTAAAGATGACGTTTATCACGTTCATTTGATTTTTTTGGACGTCCGCTCCGTGAAGCAACAGTTAAAGCACTTGTTTTATGATATTTTATTAGAAAGAACTATTCAAGGAAAACTGACTATGGAAAGACTACTGTTCATAATATTATGAGTCTCCAGCTTCATAAAGACCGATAATCCCTCCACGTTCGAGATTTGATAGTTCTTTTGTTTTGACCATTTTATCGCACTTAACAGAGAAATGAAGAAAAATAAATATCACGCATGATGATTTTTTTTTATTTATTATTATTGTACTACAAAATCCCTCATTTTTATTGCACAAAATCCATTTTTGTCGCATACTTTGCAAATCATTAGGGTAGTCCTAAACTTTTGAGTAGGTAGTGACTGTATCATGATGCCATTCGATACATGTAAGAAGAAGGTATTTCTTGTCCCGAATAAATGTTCCATCGGAACAAAGTAGGTTGTAGTAATTTAATACGTCCATTTTTCTCCCTGCATCAATATTATTCTGATTCCTAAGTTGTTGGACGAATTCCAAAATAGAATCTGCCGCATTTTAATCCATACTAAAAAGCTGCGAAAGTTTATTTTGGGTTAATCATAAAAATGAGTTTTCATTTAGGATTTTTTTTTTCATAATTTTTTCAATGTGAAATCAGAGTTCTTTTTTAGACTCCAAAAAGACTTTAACGTGGAGAGCTGACTATTTTTTAACGTTGGAAGGAATTTCGACAGACATTATTTTGTAAATTAAACCCATTTTTCGATAAAGTTCCACTATTTTATTTCCATGCTAATCCTAAAGGAGTAAATATGTGCCGATACTTCGGTACATCGTAAAACAGAAATATATAATATATTGTTGTTTTATTCTACTCCGCTAAACAAACAAGTGCTTTTCCAGTTACAGTAAACCAATTTTTGTATTAGCTTCACTGATATTGTATAAATGGCGACCCGAGATCTAGATCTGATTGATCTGATTGATGACTCTGATCTATAATTTTATATCAAAGTATTCAAGTAAAAAAAAAGATTACTGGTAATCATATTGGTAATCGTCCGATAATAACTTGTTTATAGGGATGTAAATCATATTGTCTATGTATTATAAGTAACAATTGTATATTATTAGTCACCATTAACACCATTAAGCTATTTCATATTACTAGTTTAGGTGATATAATAAATGTGACTCATACATGATCTTGATTTTTTTTACTGATCAAATGTATTAGTCACTGTGTATTCAAAAGATTTTACAAATATATATATACCCTTAAACTTCCTTAAGAAAAAATCAAAAATCAAATTTCATATTATTTTTCAACTTCAAATATTATTTGTCTCAATTCAATTATAAATTTCAATCCAATATTTCAAACTATAATTCAAGATGTCTTATCAATTGTGCCCAAACATTATCAGTACTATTCTTAATGAAATTCCCATCAATAAATGTTACCATAATCCTCAACTCATTGAAACTTCTCAAACTTCTCAATATTTACCATTGCTTGCTGGATTCTTTTATGTTCTTTTGATCATTCTTCTAATATACACCAATATTCTTAATAATATTATTGTCTTAATTTTTCGTTTATTGAAATTCATGTGTACTATAATCTTTTCTCTTTCCCATCTCCCTACTCTTTATTTCTCTAATATATTTCATCCTTTTGAAAATTTATTATTATCTATATTATTACCAAATCTTCTTTATTTATTGTATATATTATTATCAATTCTTTTTCATTTTCTTTATTTACTTAACTGTATAATTCATATTCTCATCTTTTCTTATTCTTTACTTTATAGAGTAATCTATTTAGTAAATATTATTATCCTTTTAATTTCTCAATAATTTAATTAAATAATCTTATATTACGTAGCTTGGCCCATTGCTTACCAAATATAGCATGGAGATGTAATCTTTCCCCTTTGGTCAACTTGGGATTATTTGACCATTCTTAGATAGATAATTTTTACAAGGGGATCGTTTGCATCGCCCATGAAGCATTGCACTGTGCTAATTGGTGTCAGAGAGATCCTTTGTCTTGTAAAATTTACCTTTCTTGATCATTTGATCTATCTCATGTGATTTCCTTCTTCACATGTGATACCCTTTATTTTGTTCCTTTGTTGAGTTCTTTCCTTAATAACTTATTAACTCAACAATATCCATCACCGTTGGTTCCACGATTTCTGTGTCCAAGTTCAATTCTTGGAGGTGATTTGCTTTACTAATTAGTTTATCCTTTTTTTCAATTTTCCATTCCAAATATTCTTAATCACTGACAAACTGAACTTATACAAGAGGTGAATGGGTGGTGTGATGTATGTTAAGTAAGAGACATTTCTAATGTTTCTACTTTTATAGGAGTTCCAGACGAAATTATGAACTGGATTTTTTAGGTAGAAAATATTTTTTTTATTTATTTTTTTAGTAACATTTTTAGCATTACTTATTTTTATTTTCTTGTAGGGATTACTGAGACAAACTGTACTCCTGTGTTACAAAACAAATGATCACACATCAAAGTTTGTGCAACAGTTGAATTTAATGCCCTTCAGTATTTTTTGCGCAAATAAAATTTTTATCACATTATCTTTGTATACAATATTTATTTAATCCATAAATTTTTATCACGTTACTCTGTCTTGTCAAAGGAAACATGACTGCAAATACTTTCTGACGCCTAAAACATTAAGCTATGGACGCTGGCGATTATGACTATCGCAAATCTCCTCCTTGAACAGGAAAGTTTATTATTTTAATACTAGTCCATGTTCTGATATATAGCTTTTCCATACAAACTGACTGATGATTTCCATTACTAGCATTCAGTTAAAGAATCTCTCACTCCAAGACAATGATGACTGTCATCAATAAATGATATTGGAGACTACTGGTCTGATAAATCGCCTAAGAAGAGTATTCATGTCATAGTTAAGCCACCCGTGTCAACTGACACTTCGAGTTATGAACAGGAATTAACAAGTCTGTCTATGGTATGTATAAAGTAGTGGGGATAAACTGTGAGAGCTTTTCGTTGCTTTACAGTATATGACGTTGTTGTTAGCACTAAATAGTAAATATCAAGCACATGACCCTTGAAGGACTAAAAAATTCCATATGTGCAAAGTATCAGATGAGAATAACTTTGTGAAATGCTCCAGCTATTCGTATCAAAATACAATTTCAAGTCTACCATGTTTATAGAGACTCCCTTGAAAGCTCTATCAAATTTGACCTACTACAATATATTGAAAATGACGATAAACTAATAAAATGATGGTTTCTATTATTACAAAATATTATTTATATTAAAAACTAATTTATAAAAGAAACCAACTTATAAAATGAAGATGGTTTCTATTATTACAAAATATTATTTATATTAAAAACTAATTTATAAAAGAAACCAACTCATTCAAATTCATTTTATTAAAATAAATAATTATAAGGTACAATTTAAGTATCTATATAAAATAAATATAATAGAGTTAGTTGATACATTGATATTTCTTTATGCTGTAAGTTCCTTTAATTTATTTTGAGCATATTGGTATCCTTGTTTTGCAGATTTATTATACCAATAAATTGCTTGATTTATATTTTTTCCTATACCATTTCCATATTCATACATTAAAGCAAGATTACATTGAGCCAAATAATTGTCTAAATTTGCTGCCTTTTGATATAATTCAAACGCTTTATAATCATTAATATCAATCCCAATTCCATTATAATAACAATTACCTAAGTTATTCATTCCATTCGCATTTCCTAAATCTGCTGCTTTTTGGAATAATTCAAATGCCCTTTGCCAATTAGTAACAGTTCCAATTCCCATTTCATAACAATATCCTAACTTATCTATCGCATTTGGAATTTCTTTGTCTGCTAATTCTTCATACAATTCAAAAGCTAAATCATTATTTATATCAACACCTTCTCCATGAATATACATTTCAGCAAGATTTAATTGAGCTACGCTATTTTCTAATATTGTTGCTTCATGATATAATTCAATTACCTTTTGCTTATTAATAATAGTTCCAATTCCATAATAATTAAAATATCCAAGTAAACAAATTGAATTTGAATTATATTGATTATTTAAAAGCCAATTATAAATTTCTGGTGTTAATATCTTGTGATTATTAATATAATTTATTATATTATTTTTTAGTATTTCTTCATCTTTCCCTTCATTTAGTCCTTTAAAAATAAGATTGATCATTTCATCAATTATGATACTTAAGTCTTCTTCAAATATATTTTCATGAATATTTTGAGTTATAGGTTCTATTTCATTTATATTAATTTTATCAAAATTTTGAATAATTTGAGAAAATCCTTTTAATGAATTATTGGTATTTGATGAATCAATATTATCTAAATTTAGTTGCATATTGGATATTATAAATTAATTTAAATAACAAGGGAAAGG